CCCCCCCCCCAGCCACTTCCACTCCGATATCTTCACCCACATAACCCTTATCCCAGACCCTGCAACACAATCACCTGCCTTGAGGCACAGTCCAAACCCCTGGCCAGACCCACTCCAGGCCTGCTGGTCCCAGCCTGTTTGTGTGGTCCCCAGCTGATTTTTCTGTGGGGCCATTGGCCCCTAACCCAAGAGAGGTTTCCCACCCCTGTCACAAATACTAGAGGCCCCTGCTTTATAACAGCCCAGTTTACAACCCTCCCCCCCCCCTTTTTCCGAAATGGGGAAGGGGCCAAAATCCCCCAATTTACGTCCTTGGCCTATTGTAAATGCAGGCTCTATGCATTTACGTCCTTGGCCTATTGTAAATTAGGACTAGGGTTGCCAGGTGTCTGGTATTGGCCCTGACAGTCCAGTATTTGTGGCTTCTGTCAGGTAAAAAAAACCCAGAAAATACCGGACCAGTAAAATGTCTGGTATTTTCAGTTTTTCTCAGCTGGAAAGCCACTTGGGATGTTCTTGCCCTGCCATGTCTGGTGGGGATGGAGAGTGTGAGATTTAAAGGTGCTATGATTATTTTTTGGGGGGGAGGGCACTTTTTTTGTTCAACATTTGGACATCCCTCCCCTTTTTATTAATGCAGAATTTTGTTTAAAAATTAATTACAATATAATTAGAATAAAAATTATCCAATGAAATTAAGTTTCTATCAAATTTACCCAATTCACATTTAATATGAAAATAGCCTTCAATTTGTGCATTTGATGCCTTTTTTCTATTTTTTTCTCCAAAGGGGGGGCCCGGAGAAATTGTGCTGCCCTGGGCCCCACAAAGCTCTCATCGGCCTCTGTCCCAGATGCATTTAAGGAAGTGGGTTCCAGGACACAAAACCTTATGCCCAAATAAATGTGTTTAGTCCTTAAGGTGACGTAGGACACCTCATTGTTTTGTCTGACGAGTTATGCTAGCAGGACTATAAGAAGAGGGGCAACCTAGGCTAGTGAGTGGGCCGCATAAGTGGCCCTCCATCATCTCAGTGGGCCGCAAGATTGTTGTGACCAACACAATCTCCCAGAATAGGGTAGTTCTGCTAACTATATTTGTGTACCTTGAATTTCTGGCGTGTACCAGTTGAACCATAGCAGTGCTTCACTTGGATTCAGAGGGAGTACATGACTCTTGCAGGTATTGTCTGCAAACAGCTCTCACCTCACTCCATGTACCCTTGCTTTAAGCCTGTGTCACTTTTGTAATACCTCTAGGAAAGAAGACAATGTGGACCAAAACCAGCAGAATCAGGCAATCTTGTCTGTGGACAATAGTAAATATAATATCTTGTGGGTCATACGCAGAACCCCAATGGGCCAGTTGGTATAAATTTGAAGTAACTTAATTTTCTTCCATGGTGTTAATCCAGTTAAAATCAGTAAAGGTAAGAATAGAATATTCTATTCTAGTGTAATGAAGTGATTTTGACCCACAAAAGCTTATGCCCAAATTAAATTAATCTGTTAGTCTTTAAGGTGTCATAGGACTCTTTGTTTTTAAGAGTAGAATGTGTTCATTATATCTCTAAAAGTTGGACTGAGCAATGTAGTAATATTACCTTTCTCTAGCAGGACTATTGGTCTAAAGCAAAATGTAAGTCACTAGCCCTTTACAGTTGCCAAAAAACCTCTTTTATCTGTGACTCAGTGCAGCACTGTCTTCCTTAAATCTGCAAAAACAAGTTGAAAGAAATAGCTACAATTATTTTAATATTGCCATTAACTGTAAAGGTAACTATTTTGCTCATAAGTGCTGACTCCATAGGTGCTTTGGGGCTAGAGCACTCAGAGAAAAATTAGCAAGTGCTCAGCACCCATTGGCAGCTAAATTTTCCCTTTTCTTCCCCCTCTCCTCATGCCTCTCACCCATTGGAATCCCCACTTTTCCTCTTCTTCCCAGCACCTCCCACAATCAGCTATTCCACATCATGCAAGACTCTCTAGGAGGGAGGGAAGGAGTGTGATGGGGCAGAAAGAGGCAGGGTGGGGTTGGGTAGTGG